GGTTTAGGGTTTAGGGTTGTTGGAGCTCCATGGCAGAAGTGATCGATAAGTATGCTAATTGATGCCATTGCATCTAGGTAGGCAGATTACAAAATAAACTCGTGGTAGCTGCAAAAACAGTCACAACAGAGTGCGGCCATTACCCGGGGCTACCCTGATATAGTAAAATCCTCTAATCCCTGAAGAAACCCAGTTTACATTTCATTCTCCATGTTCTTTTACATTTGATTCTCCATTGATTGCCCTCTCCATTATCCCTCTATAGCCCCATATCCCCATAGTATCCTAATTCCTCCCTAGCACTGGCTTGGAAAGTTGGGCTGGAACGATTGGTAGTTTCCCAACAATAGGGGTCCTTTTAAAAGAGGATATTGGGTTATACAGGGGTTATACAGCGGGTATATAGAGTTATATAGCAATATCAAGGGTTTTTCGTATTTTTCTCGGACCTTTAGGTTTAGGGCTTCCCAGATTGGGGGCATCTTTTTTGGGGCTGCGTATACGAAGGATTTTTGGTATTTCGGGGATTGGGGTCCCCTTGTTTTGGGAAACTACCAGTTGTTTGATTTCAGAAGCTGTTTTATGACCAGCATCGCCACCGCGTTGCCCGAAATTATGGACCAGCGCTAGGCCGCTAGGGGAACGGCAAGGGCCACTGAACCTAAACCCTTTTGCAACAGGCTTTCTGAGTCCGCCTGGAAGGATGTCATCGGCACACTCACAGCACTTTCGACCGAGACAGGCCAACACCCCTGAACTGAGAGAATGAGAGAATGATCTGAACAGAACGAGTTCACTATACATGTTCAGAGTCAGAATACTACTACGTCATGAACTATTCTACGCCAAGCTGGAACGTGCCTTGCGTCGAACCTCTTTCTGAACCTAAACCCTAAACCCTAAACCCCCAAACCCTTAAACCCTATAAACTGCTAAGCATTTGGGGTTCACTAGAAAAGCGCTTGCAGGTCAACTTGCAGCTGCGCCACGCAGGAGAGAAAAATCAAGACGTTCAGGAGGGCACCTCAGCAACCCCGCAACGCTAATCCCGCGCGGTTTAGGGTTTAGGGTTTAGGGGCCAACCACAGGGCCAACCCTAGATTTCCCTATATTACCCTATATTAGCCCTATATTAACCCCTATATAAACCTAAACAACCCTATATTAACCCCAACAATCCTTGATCTTCTGCCAGGCGACTCACAATGACACCGACCAAGGATGACGTGGGCTCTTCCATTAACACGAAAATTCGCTCTGGGAGCGAGAGTTTCACAGAAACGTCCTAAGAGTGCAGGCTGCTTCTGATTGTAAAGACAAAATGTGCACACGTCATGGCACGATCTTGATAGCTACTGGCAGGGAGGGGAACTAGCAAGGAACTGATATGAATCCCTAAGTCACTAAGCACTGACACCTGAGCAGCTGTGATACCTTGTCTCTCTGCCAGAAGACTAGTGAGACTAGTGCATAACGGAGCTTCGGCTTTTCGCCAGACGGTCACAAATTCGTACCAACCAACAGCACCGGAACCGTCCACGTCGTATTCATCCGCCGAGAACTCGTCAGCCTGCAGGCAAATCCACTCGGTACATGTTGCGAGTAGATCCGGCGTGGCGTGCTCCGTCCAGCAATCACAGACACAAGAGCCTGCCGATCCATCTGCATCAAACGAAATAATCGAACAACACTGCGTTGAAACACACTAACAGGCACTTCTCCGTGGCTGTCGCCATGTTGACCTTGGCACGAAGAGTGCTACATGCGAAACAGGGAAGCAAGTCCAGCAGCTAGCTGCGGCTGAGAAGCTGTAAAGCCTCAGTTACATGCGACTGCCAGCAGCAGACACGGCACGCCAGTGGCACGCCCAAGCCACAATGCACATATGTGTACCACACAACTTCATCTAGAAATGTGTTGTTCTGCTGTTTTCCCGATATAAACCACTATATAATAGTAGTTTCCATGTTCTTGTCCATTATCCCCATGTAA